TTCAGGGATTATTTCAAAAAAGGAGGTGGGCAGACTGTAAGAGCCAGAGGTAGTGGATGAATACAAGGAAACTATTATCTGGTCACCATGGGGGCAGGTGTACACATGAACCCACAGTATTTGTGACAGCTTACATAAGGCTTGTACAAGCTCAAATCCTAGCATGGATGTCCCAGCTCCAACTGAGGAACTACTGGCAATTGATAGTTGCTAGGAGAGGGAGAGTCAGTTTTCTTTAAGGGTGTGACATCAGGTAAGGTTGACTAGGATCCAAGAGATTAATCCACACCCACTTCCACACAGAGAACTTGATCCTTTTTTTTAAATTTGTTTTTATTGATTTTTTTTGTATTTCATACAGAACATCTCAAACAGCCTTAATCATCTTTATACCCCTGTACCCACTGGCACCCTCCCATAGCCCCCCAGCCTCTACTGGATCCCAGATACTCTGTCATCCCTGTTAAGGCCCACTGGGCTGTCAGTGTCCCCAGCCATTTCTCAGTGCAATTAATCCACAGAGATCTAGTCAGCTTATCTAGAGTCCCTTGTTTTAGGAAGATCAGCTCTTCTTCACCTAGCTGCAATCAGTTGCCAATATTTCTTCAGATAAGATTGGGGTCTGCTGCTCATTTTCCCAGTTCTGTGCTGGGTTTTTCTTTACCTGAGTTTGCATGGGACTTGTGTATGATGACACCACTGCTATAGAATCATAAGAGCAGGTTCCAGGGGCTTGTAAGACTCTTGTTTCCATATGGTCATGCACCCCTTCCCTGGCTCTTACAATCTTTCCACCCTCTCTTCTACGATGGTCCCTGAATCTTGGATGGGTGAAGTTTAATAAAGGAGTCCTGTCCAAGAACAGTCATTCAGCAGACTCTTGATCTCTATGCTTTGGCAATTTGTCACCTTTTGTGTTCCGGGCCCTCCACTGCATGAGGGAGTTTCATCATTGAGAACTGAGGGATTCATTAGGGTCCTCTTCTTTACCCTGTTCTATGTTCTATGAGCCTTAGGTATAGAGGTTGTATTGTGGATGTCACATAGGCCAGGAAAATTCATAGACAGTGTCTGTGTGTGACCAGTTGTGGTATTTGGTAATAGTCTCTGACTGGTACAAAATAAGACCATCAAATCACTAGACTAAACTTACTATATGCAAAATATGTATCCTTATATTTACAGACAAATATCCCAGTCACCACCCATCTTGATTCTTATATTTATACAACACATTGTCATATTTGCTTTGTCTGAGTAAACATAATTTTAAAATTTATGTGTTTCCATATATAAAAGTCTATAAAAAGTTAATGAATAAAATAATGTGATTTATTCACTTTTTATTTTACAGTATGTAATCAGAACATTTTCCCCTAATTTTAGTTGTTATTCGTTTTTCCCTTTCCTTCAGTGTAGTTATGTCATTCATTTTAATACAATTCTTTCAAGTATTACTAATGGTATCTATTTAAAACTTATCTTGTGTTATGGCTATTTCTAATTATATATTTATATAGATATAACTGTATTACATGCTTCTCTCTCCTCTCTCTCTCCCTCTCTCTCTCTCTCTGTAGGTTATTATAGCACTTATAGCCAGATTAGGCATATTTATAAGCAAATAAATGTATGGAATGTCTCATATGTTATTTTCTACCTTACTCTCTATATTAGTTACTTTTCCATTCCTGTGATAAAACACCATGACTAAGGCAACATGAAACATGTCACCCATAGGCTCAAGTATTTGGTTCTGTGTGGGGAGGGTGATGGGACTGTAAGGAGGTGTGGCCTAGGTGGAAGAAGTGCTTCACTCTCTGGATGTAGGGTTTGAGATTTCATTCCCTGTCCCACTTGTCTCTCTGCTTCCTGCACTTGCTTGAAGACGTGAGGATTAAGCTTTCTGTTCTGTCTCCCCCTGCTGCTACACCTCTCCATCGTGATAAACTCTGGAACTATAAACTCAAACTCTTCCTTCTATAAGTTGCCTTGGTCATGGTGTTTTATCATAACAAGAGTAAGTAACTAGTGCATACCCATTCTTCTAAGTTAGCTAACAGCATTGATTTTGACTCAATCCTTTGTGTATTTATGTGAACTGATAAGGAAATACAGGCACATTTTCTTACACTTGTACTTACTTACTTACCTGAAAGTATTCTACTGTAGATCTTGTTTCCATTTTCTCTTTTTTGCTTAAATATTCTTTACTTAAAAATTTTCACATATACATTGTGATTCATTGTGTAATTGTACCATAGGATAGTCAACCCTTCTATGCATGTTTACTTTCAACCATTTGCAAATACCAAGACTATAGCAAAGAATAATTATGTGGATATATGTTTACATGTTGTTTAAGATGTAATTTGTGGTAAATTCGTAGGCATTAAAGTTCTGAGTCAAAACATATGAATGCATTATATTTATTCAGTATTTGCTGACAACTTACTTTCTAAAGGAGTTATTGCATTTGTAATTCCTGTAAAAATTGCTTGGAAGTTATTGTTTCACTGTAATGTCAGTATCTGGCTTTATTGTCTTAACCTTTAGAACCCCCAAATCTTTAAAAATATTTTATTTATTATTTTTATTTTATGTGTATGAGTGTATTGTCTGCATGTCAGTGAGTGCACCCATGTTGTGCAATGCTGCGGAAGTCAGAAAAGGGTTTTGGATTCCCCTCGAACTAGAGTTAAGGACAGTTTGTAGCCACCATATGGATGCTGGGAATTGAACCCAGGGCCGCTGAAAGAGCAGTCAGTGCTCTTAACTGCTGAGCCATCTCTCTAGCCCCAAGAACCCAAAATTTTGACAGCCAAGGAGGCTTTCATAGATATTTTTTTCTATAGTTACAAGAGAGATGGAATGTTTTGCATTAGAGGTAAATTTGATGTCATTTAAAAAAATTCTATTCATACTCATTTCTACTTTCAAATTAATATTTAGAGCTTTATCATTTAATTTAATTT